AGAAGGCAAATGCTGGGGCTTGCCTGGGGAAGCAGCTCCCTGCTTCGTCCTGCCTGGTATTATGGTATTGTTTATCCAGTGCCAGAGATGAATGGAGCACGTGACAGCAGGAAAAATGCAAGTTGGACAAGATCCCTGCCCAAAAATGCAACAGCCCCTGATTATGGCATTACGTTGCAGGCCAGGCCCAAACCCAAATCCACCTCCCTGTAGCAGCGCAAATGCTGGGAGAGAAAACCCAAAGAGCTCCCTGCCTGCAGGGAGGGAGGATAAGGGGTAAAAGAGGTCCCTGGGTTTGGCATCCGTAAAATAACAGGTTGGTGGCACATCCAGGACCAGATTTCAACCCAGTTTTCTCTCCCAGCCGCCACTTCTCCCACCGCCTGGCTGGAAAAACAGTGTCTCATTTAACAAGGCATCATTATCATGGTTAGCAATCACTGGGGGGGCTTGCTTGGCACCTATACAGTATTTATTTTCAGGCACCCCTGCACCGTGGGGCTGCCCATCAGCAGTGGCTCCAAAGCACGGTGCCGCACCCGGGATGAGGTTAGCCAGGTCTGGGAGCGTCTCCAGGTCTCCCCGAGCAGAGATGGGAACAGACCCCCCAGCACCCTGTTCCCAGATTTACCCACCAGACTGGAGCTTGGTGGAAGTGAGAGGAGTGCTGTGGTTTTTTGGGGTTTTGGTGTTTTTTTTCTAAATTATGCCTGGCCTCAGAAGAGACTGATGGGAAGCTGCCTGGAGTTTGGTCAGGCTGGTCAGCTTTCTGGTAACCTCATGGACACGGCTGTGAGAAAACCTCGGTGCAGGGCTCTGGGAAATGACAGCCCAGGACGAGCGGGAGGGGGAACGCGCCCGTTGCTGCCGATGCAGCAGCGAGCGATGCTCCCGGCACGCTGGGGGCCGCAGGGACCGGCGTACCCCCATCCTGCACCCTGCCCACCATCGTCCGGGCCTCGAGGGGAGGGAAGGAGGAGCAGGCAGCCTGCCTGCACCCTGCCACGCGCTCC